CTGAAGATAAGCAGCCGATAGCACTGTTGCTGTCCAGTTATGTATATTGTCCTCTCTAAATACTGATTAGATGTTTTATTACACAAGCGTGAGCTAGCTATCTTCATACATATTGGATAACGAAAAGTAATTCTTCATTGTTCATTTTCTAACTCTAAATATGATTATGGTAGACATGTTTTCTATAGTACAAATTTATTCAATATTAGCACGACACACACACACACATACACACACACACACACACTCACACACACACACACACATACACACACACACATACACACACACACACACACACACACACACACACACACACACACACACACACACACACACACACACACACACACACACACACACACACATACACGCACACACAGGAAGGCCAGGACGAATGAAGCCAAACTACAAGAAAGGGGACTACACAGGAATGAGGAACTACCTGAACGGGGTTCAGTGGGACAGAGAACTGGCAGGGAAGCCAGTTAATGAGATGATGGAATATGTAGCAACAAAATGCAAGGAGGCTGAGGAGAGGTTTGTACCCAAGGGTAACAGGAATAATGAAAAAGCCAGGATGAGCCCATGGTTTACCCAAAGGTGCAGGGGGGCAAAAACCAAGTGTGCTAGGGAATGGAAGAAATATAGAAGGCAAAGGACCCAGGAGAATAAGAACAGTAGTAGAGCCAGAAACGAATATGCACAGATAAGAAGGGAGGCCCAAAGACAATATGAAAACGACATAGCAGCGAAAGCCAAATCTGACCCGAAACTGTTGTACAGCCACACCAGGAGGAAAACAACAGTCAAGGACCAGGTAATCAGGCTAAGGAAGGAAGGAGGAGAGACAACAAGAAATGACCGTGAAGTATGTGAAGAACTCAACAAGAGATTCAAAGAAGTGTTCACAGAGGAGACAGAAGGGGCTCCAGAAAGACGGAGAGGTGGGGCACACCACCAAGTGCTGGACACAGTGCACACAACCGAGGAAGAAGTGAAGAGGCTTCTGAGTGAGCTAGATACCTCAAAGGCAATGGGGCCAGATAACATCTCCCCATGGGTATTGAGAGAGGGAGCAGAGGCGCTATGTGTACCCCTAACAACAATATTCAATACATCTATCGAAACAGGGAGATTGCCTGAGGCATGGAAGACAGCAAATGTAGTCCCAATCTTTAAAAAAGGAGACAGACATGAAGCATTAAACTACAGACCAGTGTCACTGATATGTATAGTATGCAAAATCATGGAGAAAATTAAATCAGGAGAAGAGTGGTGGAACACCTAGAAAGGAATGATCTCATCAACAGCAGCCAACATGGTTTCAGGGACGGGAAATCCTGTGTCACAAACCTACTGGAGTTCTATGACATGGTGACAGCAGTAAGACAAGAGAGAGAGGGGTGGGTGGATTGCATTTTCTTGGACTGCAAGAAGGCGTTTGACACAGTTCCACACAAGAGATTGGTGCAAAAACTGGAGGACCAAGCAGGGATAACAGGGAAGGCACTACAATGGATCAGGGAATACTTGTCAGGAAGACAGCAGCGAGTCATGTACGTGCGAGGTGTCAGAGTGGGCACCTGTGACCAGCGGGGTCCCACAGGGGTCAGTCCTAGGACCAGTGCTGTTTCTGGTATTTGTGAACGACATGACGGAAGGAATAGACTCTGAGGTGTCCCCCTTTGCAGATGACGTGAAGTTGATGAGAAAAATTCACTCGCTCGAAGACCAGGCAGAACTACAAAGGGATCTGGACAGGCTGCAGACCTGGTCCAGCAATTGGCGCCTGGAGTTCAATCCCACCAAGTGCAAAGTCATGAAGATTGGGGAAGGGCAAAGAAGGCCGCAGACGGAGTACAGTCTAGGGGGTCAGAGACTACAAACCTCACTCAAGGAAAAGGATCTTGGGGTGAGTATAACACCAGGCACATCTCCTGAAGCGCACATCAACCAAATAACTGCTGCAGCGTATGGGCGCCTAGCAAACCTCAGAACAGCATTCCGACATCTTAATAAGGAATCATTCAGGACCCTGTACACAGTGTACGTTAGGCCCATATTGGAGTATGCGGCACCAGTTTGGAACCCACACCTAGCCAAGCACGTGAAGAAACTAGAGAAAGTGCAAAGGTTTGCAACAAGACTAGTCCCAGAGCTAAGAGGTATGTCCTACGAGGAGAGGTTAAGGGAAATCAACCTGACGACACTGGAGGACAGGAGAGATAGGGGGGACATGATAACGACATACAAAATACTGAGAGGAATTGACAAGGTGGACAAAGACAGGATGTTCCAGAGATTGGACACAGTAACAAGGGGGCACAGTTAGAAGCTGAAGACACAGATGAATCACAGGGATGTTAGGAAGTATTTCTTCAGCCACAGAGTAGTCAGTAAGTGGAATAGTTTGGGAAGCGATGTAGTGGAGGCAGGATCCATACATAGCTTTAAGCAGAGGTATGATAAAGCTCACGGCTCAGGGAGAGTGACCTAGTAGCGATCAGTGAAGAGGCGGGGCCAGGAGCTCGGACTCGACCCCCGCAACCTCAACTAGGTGAGTCAACTAGGTGAGTACACACACATCGAGCATGTCTCCGGAAGCACACATCAACCAGATAACTGCTACAGCATATCGGCGCCTGGCAAACCTGAGAACAGCGTTCCGATACCTTAGTAAGGAATCGTTCAAGACACTGTACACCGTGTACGTCAGGCCCATACTGGAGTATGCAGCACCAGTTTGGAATCCGCACTTGATAAAGCACGTCAAGAAACTAGAGAAAGTGCAAAGGTTTGTGACGAGGTTAGTTCCAGAGCAAAGGGTAATGTCCTATGAAGAAAGGTTAAGTGAAATGGGCCTGACGACACTGGAGGACAGGAGGGTCAGGGGAGACATGATAACGACATATAAAATACTGCGCGGAATAGACAAGGTGGACAAAGACAGGATGTTCCAGGGAGGGGACACAGAAACAAGAGGTCACAGTTGGAAGTTGAAGACACAGATGAGTCAGATAGATATTAGGAAGTATTTCTTCAGTCATAGAGTTGTCAGGCAGTGGAATAGCCTAGAAAGTGACGTAGTGGAGGCAGGAACCATACATAGTTTTAAGACGAGGTTTGATAAACCTCATGGAGCGGAGAGAGAGAGAGGGCCCAGTAGCAACCGGTGAAGAGGCGGGGCCAGGAGCTAAGACTCGACCCCTGCAACCACAAACAGGTGAGTACAAATAGGTGAGTACACGACACAAGGTATCAGAATGGACGCCTGTGACGAGCGGGGCTCTACAGGGGTCAGTCCTAGGACCGTGCTGTTTCTGGTGTATGTGAATGACATGACGGAAGGAATAGACTCAGAAGTGTCCCTGTTTGCAGATGATGTGAAGTTGATGAGAAAAATTCAATCGGAGGAGACAAAGGGATCTGGACAGGTTGCAGGCCATGTCCAGATACTGACTCCTGGAGTTCAACCCCACTAAGTGCAAAATCATGAAGATTGGTTAAGGGCAAAGAAGACCGCAGACGGAGGAGACAAAGGGATCTGGACAGGCTGCAGGCCTTGTCCAGAAACTGGCTTCTGGAGTTCAACCCCACCAAGTGCGAAGTCATGACGATTGGGAAAGGCAAAGAAGACCACAGACGGAGTACAGTCTAGGGGGGCAGAAACTACAAACCTCACTCAAAGGGAAAGGATCTTAGGGTGAGTATAACACCGGGCACATCCCCTGAGGTGCACATCAACCAAATATCTGCTGCAGCATATGGGCGCCTAGCAAACCTAAGAATAGCATTCCGATATCTCAATAAGGAATCGTTCAGGACCCTGTACATCGTGTATGTCTGGCCTATTTTGAATTATGCAGCACCACTTTGGAACCCATACCTAACCAAACATGTAAGGAAATTAGAGAAAGTGCAAAGAGGAGAGGATAAGGGAAATCGACCTGAGTTGTCAGGAAGTGGAATAGTCTGGGAAGTGATGTAGTGGAGGCAGGATCCATACATAGTTTTAAGCAGAAGTGTGATAAAGCTCATGGTTCAGGGAGAGTGACCCAGCAGCGGCCAATGAAGAGGCGGGGCCAGGAGCTATGAATCGACCCCTGCAACCACACCTAGGTGAGTACACACACACACAACATATATGTATATAATTGTGTGTGTGTGTGTGTGTTTGTGTGTTTGTGTGTACAATAAGATCACAGTAAACAGGTGATATAATTTGCAGAACAACCACTGTGAAAAAAAATAGTGAAATTCCAAAATTCGAAACTAGGAATGCCAAGCCCGTGATGATTCTCTACAAATCGCTTGTTCTCTCTGGGTTTTAATACTCCTGTGCACTAACTGCCTCCTTCAAGGCAGGCGAAATTGCTGACCTGGAGAGTGCACAAAGAACTTTCACTGCACACGTAAGTACGATAGTGTCAATTTAGATTGTTATCGTAAGATTCCAGTGCTCACCAGGATATTCTTAACGACGGTGCCCCAGAGATTTATCAATCGATTTCTAGAGACAAGGAAAGTAGTGGTCAATCTTGTAAGTAGCTCCGTCTGTTACTGTGATTATGTGTTACAGGTATAATGGCGAGTTACTCTCCGTACCAAGATTCTTTAATGTTACTGTGTCTCAGAAACATGTTGATGAGCCAGTGAGGTGCAGAGATGAAGCAGTGGCAGTTGTCACATCAGTGCAAGAAGGGATAGTAGTGGAAAGGTAATTTATTTATTTATTTTTTTTAAGATTCGCCGGTATTCTCCCGGCCCGGGCCTTTGCCAAGTGGTGGCCCGGCCTTGGCTCCCTGTCTAGGGAGTGTCTGAGACCCAAGTCTCCCATGGGAGGAGGCACAAGTAACCCCTCATCTTAGGGACCAACTGTCCCCAGGCCTAGCCACATTCCCCGCCCTCACGGGGCTCGTAGGGAGAAGCTAGGACTCTCTGGTCTGCCATCCCCGCCCCAAGGGGGCTAATGGGAATGGCAGTCTTGTGAGCTGCAA